GCGCCCATATCTGTCCCCATTTCTCAGGCGGCCCTTCTGTGACGCATCTCACCGAGGGTGTAACTGGCGCGCCGAATTGGCCGCCTCCGCTCTGACCGCGCCCCGATAAACCCGGCCTCGGGCGGTGCTGACAGTCTGGCACGAGCTACACCTGCTCCTCAGACAGACAACTCAGCGAGTCCTGTTAGCAGTACCGCCTAAAGTTCACCCCGCTGCAGTTAGCGGGACGTCTGCGCTCGGTGAGTGCGCCAAAACAGTGGGCCAGGACGGCTGTGAGCCGATGGCCGCTCCCCTTCTCACGCGGGGTGGATCGGGGCGCGCGGGTGGTCCGCCGCACCGAGGCGCGTGCCTGACAGCTCGAGGAATGCTGGCGAGACAGCGAGCTGGCCCAGCTGCCGGCGAACTATGTGGGCTGTCAGACGGCACCCGGTTCACATGGCATGCACATTGCACAGTGGCAGCTGCACGAGCCTGCTGTCGGGTTTGCTCGCGCGATGTCCAGTATGGACCGCTCTTTACGTCCCGCACGTCAACGTCTGGCGAATCAACAGCAAACGGGGAGACACTGCTTTTCGATTCACGATTCACACTGAACATCCTGGTGTATGTGTGCCGGGAATTAATATTGTTCTCTTTGATGTTGCCGCCGATCGGATCCGCCCCGATCACTGATGTGCGCGGCCGATGGTTCCTTTCTGCCAGTTCCGCTGGCTCGCAGCGGTCGGCCGCCTCGGTCGGCTCTCCCGCTGTGGCGGCTAGTCTGAACAGTCGGGCGTATGCGGCTCTGGTTGTGGGCCCAGCAGGTCGTCCGGTGGGCCCGCTGGGACCCCGCCGGGGCCCTGGGGCGGCCAGCGGGGGTCGTCGGGCGGGGTGGATGACCGCCACTCCCCCGGAGGACGGTGATTGCCGCCCACCCAGCCGGCAGCGCGCCGGATCAGTCTGCTGGCGTTCCATCCTCAGCATTTCCGGCAGACACCATGCCGCGTTCTTTTATCATCGGTCGTGGTGACTGTTATTATCTGATGACACTGCCAATAGTTATAGATTTATTGCAAATCTTTAGCTTTGTGAAGAGACGACTTTGGCAAGGGCAAAAGGTTCCCTCAACAACATCCTTGAGATTTGTAATTGACATTGAATCTGGGCTTCATTGACTTTATTTTTATTACATTTTTTTTATTTCCCAAGAATCTGAACTTCCCGTAATCCATTAACTCTCATCAAGAACTGAGTCACACTTACGAATCAAATTTTCGGCAAAGGCTTCTGTTTTCAGAAGCCCATCTAATCAGCGATGTATTTGCATAAACTGATGACATTTGGTCCAGCATTTTCTGGCAGATCTTCTGAGGACGAAATGGGACCGGATTTATTTTCATTTGACGATACCGCGATATATGACTTCCTTCTGCTTTGGAATGCATAAAAGCACCATTGCATTTCTGGTACGGCGGGTCGGAAATTTTTCATCAAAACAGGTGAACACAGGATTTGATCATGTGCCGTATGGAGTGCGCTGTCAGTGGACTGGTCGCGGCGAAGAGAGTTACACCATGTCGCATGTTTGCATTTGAAGCCCATGCCTCTCGCCGTTCGACAGATGTTGCCTCTGCCACTCCGCATCTTCTAACACCACGATTCATGATACACTTATCTGAGTTTAGCACCGCCGCACTGCAGACGTTTGTTCCGTCGCTGGCATTAACACTCGGCTGTGTCCAAGTGCACTTAAGCATTGCGCTGCACTCTATCCGGAGTGTCAGACACTCTGAGTACGACCCTGTACGACACTCAGCCCGGCACCCATTACGCTAAGGGCCGTTACCGGCCGTTTAACGACGGCGCATCTCTGGGTCTGCAGCGGCGGCCGCCGTCCACTGATGCTAATCGGCTCGTCTGTAACTGGCGCGGCTGTTTTACTGAGCTCTATCCGCCTCGGCCCGGTGGGGTGCCGGCTGCCCCTCTGCAGCTGGAGAGCGCGCAGCCCGGCATTATTTGCGGAGCCGGCGAGCTCCCGCTGCCGAGCGGCGAGAAATAAATTGGATTAGGTTTCAGCCGCGCCAATCTGTGATGGATTCGCCGGGCCCATCGGGGTGCCGCGATTAAAGAGGCTATCGTGGCCCGAGCGAGCGCGGTCGGTGGCGAGCGATGGTATGCGTCTGCCTGACTGTGCTGCTAGCAGGGGGAGCCGTACCATGTATGTGATGCGTATGCTGTGATGTGTGCTGTGATGTAGCCTACTGCCTTGTGCTGAATAACCGAGGCTAGCTGCACTGTGCGTAGCTCTGCGTTATTTATTTGCCACTGCGCCGACAGACGCGGGCGAACAAAAACGGTCGGGTGGGCGCTCGACGAGCTGTCAGCGGGGAGGGGGAGGGGTATCTGTCGACGGGGGAGTGCTCGCAGGAGCGTGTTCTGACGGCCGACCACCCTGAGACAGACGAGGAGCGACAGAGAAGGTCGCAGGCAGCGAAGACAAGTCCCTAAAATAGAGGGCCTAAAGGAGAGGACCTAAAAGAGAGGGGTCCAGCGATTGAGGTGGGTAACTAGGAGTGGTCTCTTGGGTAGGTATACGAGGGTATACGAACTCTGACTGATGACGATCGCTTATAAGGGTAGTCTACTTTTCTTCGTTTACCAAAATTCATCGTCCGATGCTTCTGCATACAATTAGTTCGGACAATACGGACCGAATTTGCTTTGAAAAACCATCCGCTCCACGAGAATTGATCCAATGATCACGCGCCGTTTTGAGCGAGATCTGTGCCGGCCTTTTCTACGCGCACGAGTATAATGCCACTGGCTGCGCCTAGTGAGCCCGCGCTCCGCTCGCCATACTGTCTCACTGCATCCGATATCGCTATTTGGAAGTCATTTATGTGATAGTAAATCGACCAGTCATCACTATCATTGGCCATCGCGTATTCAAGCAGGTGATATGCCAACGCGAAACGGTCGCATTCACAATGCTCAATGCTATGCACATGTGTCCGGCTTTGCGAATGTAAGTACAGTCTGTCTTAAAAGTACCGCGCAAAGTGACGGTGGATCCATCGAGCCTGACTGAGCAAGGGCCTGCTAAATTTGGGTCACTGAAGCAACTGACATCCTTATCCATTCCCTAGGTCAATTGGTCGGTGACTTTAAATTAAAACAGGCCCTTTCTCGGTCAGGCTTGATGGATCCACCGCCACTTTGCGCGGTACTTTTAAGACAGACTGTACGTGCACGTACATAACCAAATCGTTTGGTGGCCGTTTTTCTATGCTCCTGCAATGTAAAACCGTTTGCAGTTGATACATTTAGCTCACAGTATTAGCACATTTGTATTTATTTACGAGGAAATTACGATGTTTTTCTCTAACCATCCGAAGATACCGCGAGCATATGAATACATTCAGCCGTCTCACGGCTCTGACCGCCTGGCTGTGCGTCTCAGGTGGCCACCGTTGGAGAGCTGGCCCATGTGCAAAGGTCCACTGATGGGCCCAGCACTGAACCCTGTGGACAGACCCGACACTGGCCTCTGCGGGCCGGGCCAGCTGACGGGCTGGCCCCTGTAGGTAGACCTGGCACTGGCCTCTGGGACGGATGATGCACTGGTGGGGTCGACCGTCGCCCCTGTGGTGGACTGTCTAATACCATCACCGTACCCAGCACAGCTGGCCGAGCCATGTATACTTTTTATTGCCGTTTTACTATCCGCCGCTAGTTAATGAAAACCGCGCCGTTCTGTGGCTTTCCAGACCGTGTGCCTTATTTACGACTACCCGCTAATGAAATTTGCATGAATCATTTGACTGCCCCTCCGTGCTGCCGGGAACGCTAGTGTCCCTCCGCTGTGCTCGGGCTATTGGGAACCGCCGCCTTTGGTCTTCTGGCTGCTTTCGGCGACAACCATTTACAAGTGCACACATTGCAAACACCGCAGTTATCGAATGTGGACAGGCTCTTGATAAAGGCTCGCTCACACCGTTTATCGCCGGTGTGATTTCGGCGGCGCCGTTTGATCCAATGACGTCAGACAGTGATTCCATTGGGGCCATAAATTGGTGGCCGAGATACGGCGGCGGTCGTCATTGGAGGCCACTTCTTGGCGCTGTGTACTCAGCTGAGCCCTAATGGCGCACAGTGGGGTTCGATACTGGCCGGCTCTGAGTGTTTGTTGACCCAGCACCTGTGCGCTGCGATCAAAGAGGCAGAGTGCGCCGCAGGGACACATATGCGGGAACAGAATAGGGTGTGACAGACGGCCATTTGAGCTGTCCGTCCGTGTAATGGAGCCTGCTGAAGCTATCGTGTCATAGCGTGGGAGTATAAAGCGATTGAGCCAAATACAGCAAATTCGGCAGCCCCGGATTCTGATCCTGATATCAGCACCGATAGTCTGGTTTTCTGAGTTTTCGGAGGCGGTGATTTAATATTTCCATTAGATTCCAGACATCTGCAATGGAGTCTATCCAGAATAGAAATCGTCGTCGCTTTTACACCGGAACCCGGGCCTGACAGCGGAGCCATTCGGTCACAGCCCGGGATTGCTTCCAATCCACACCACACCGGGACGGCTAGTGCCATTTCCTGTTCGGGGGCGGACCTCGCAACTTTTCAATCTCCGCCAGCGGCGGGGTGCCTTCGAACGCCCGCACCGTCGCCCCTCCCCTGCCGTCCCGCACCAGCTGACCCCCGTGTCAGCTGAATGCTTCCCTCTGGTCCGGCAAAGTCACCACGGGAATAACGTGATTTACAATTCGATGCAAGGGACGTAATTAGATGAAAGTATGATCTAGGTTTTTTAAAGGAATGAGTGCCTTAGCAGTTAGGTGTTTGTCGACTGTCGTTGCCTATTTCTTCGTTTTGAGCTGTTCAAATAAAGGGAGTGCGTTCAACTGCGATCAGAACACCTACGGAGTTCTACCTGTGTCATTTTTGGAATCTTGACCTCAATGACCCCTCGCCACCATGGGGTCGCACCTCTCACCCGTCGCCGTCTCTTCCCGCAGGGATGGACCCGTCGACCCGCGTCCAGCTGCAGTCGCCCTCCTCGCCGGCGGCCATCGTGCCCGGCTCTGACGTCACACTGCGCTGCCGCGCCGACGGATCCGGTGACGTCACTTACCAGTGGTTCCGCAACGGCGTGCGACTGACACGAGCACCGCGCCGCGCGCTGCGCAACAAACGTCTTCAGCTGAGCGCCGTCCGGCCGGCCGACAACGGCGTCTACTCGTGCCGCGCCGCAAACGCTGCCGGCAGCGCGCACAGTGACGTCACCTTCCCGCTCATCGTGCCCGGTGAGTATGACGTCATCAAATGAAGGTCCTAAGCACTGCCCAGTGTAGTTTATATGGCATTAATGCAACCAAATAATACTGCTCTTGGGTAATGGGTATGACAATTTTTTTTTTAAAGGTTTTTGCTCTTTTTCGATTCAATATATGCACTCAGGTAGGTAAGAACTGATTCTGCGAACAGAGAACGGATCCGATGAACTTCCCTGGCTATTGCATTATTCATCAACCAAATCCCTAACTAAACGTTAAATGTTGAACGCAGTCCTCCAATTGTAATTATATACAGCACAGACATCCGTCGTTTTGTAACGGGTGCCGATCGCTGCCAATGAATGCACGCCGCTTTGATCCAATGCACGCCTCCTAAAGACGCTCAAATGCCTCAGCTTCTCATCGATAATCCGCCACTGTTAGGCCCACTAAATGCAGAACATGGCACGGTGTCAGTGCATGGAGGGCGTATCGGGCCGTCAAAGGGCGCGCTACAAGGCGGGTGTCGGTGCCACTCATGTTCTGCCCGATGGATGAGCTTGCCCCGGCCACGAGCAGCCGTAAGCTCGGCCCTGTCGCGGGCGGGGTTCGCGGAACGGCCTGCCTTTGGGGCGGCTCGAACACACGTCGCCATGTTATAGGCAGGTCTGACAGAACAGCGTTTAGAAACCGATCCAACGGCCGTGTCGCTGGCCGCAGGTAATGAATCTTCAATGAGCTGAATGTCTTTAACAAAGTAAGGCTCGATATGCCAACGTGAACAAAGTGGCGTTTTAGGTGAATAATTGAGGCTTCGGTTTGCAAATAATTTGACCCGCATTGCGTGCTACTCGGTGAACTCCGAGGAAAAATATTACACTTTTCTTGTTCATGAGGTGCATTTGGCTGCGAATCAATGCAGATGGCATCTACGGTCAATATCTACAGTGCGGTTAAAATGCTGCCCCGAAATCAATTAAGGGGCTTTGTCCAAATATTCCGTCCCCACAGAGCTGACTAAAGAACTAAGGGCTAAGCGGGTGTATGAATCCGTGACAACTCACACACGGCTTTGATGTCACTAACCGACGTGACGTGTCAATCAAAGGCGACAGTGACAGTCTTTCGATGTTAGTTTCTCAACGGCAGTCGCTGGATGGCAATGGTGACAGTCTCAGGACGAAAGTCGCTCTGTGTCAGACTCTCAATGTGTAACTATTGCTCGGCGACAGTCTTGTGACGACTGTGACAGTCGCTCAGTGACAGTATGTGACAGTCCAACCGACTGTAAAAGTCGCTCGGCGCCGTACTCTGTTCTGTCGTCGGCCGGTGCCGGCGGCGTGATTAACTACTGCCTCATGACACAGTGGCGCGCCGCTCCTCCCGGTAATTAATGCGCCGGATGGGCTGATGACCGCGACTGCCCACGTCGCCGCCTAACGAACCGACACGGCGCGACACGGCAGCGGCGCCAAACGCCACCTGCAGACCGGGCTGTCCGCCGCCCGCCGGTCAGCCCAAACCATCGCCCATTGTCCACTCGGCCCGTTACCAATGAACGATAAATCTTGGTCATGTTTTCACTTATGAAGCGTTTTCAGTCAGAGTTTGAGGGTGACGGTATGCTCATGTTGCAAAGTGCTCACACGTTTCGTGCAGGCCAAGGGAATGTCCGTGCAGTCATCCGATCAGATAATGACAGGTGCTTGTGATTAGCATTTTGTGGATTATTCAGGCGGACTAAAAATGCTTTGTATGCCACTGTTCTGACGCGTACTTTTGTCTTGTCGCGTGCTCTAGACCGGCTTGTCAGATTTTTACGACTTACGAAATTCGTAGGTGTGCTTTGAAGGTACGGTGAGCGGGGTTTGAAATTTAAAAACGTCATTTTAAAGCGATGTTCCGGAAAATTGGGTAGCACCTTACCGTAAGTCACATACCTATACTGTACCATTCTGTACCAATTCATTTTATACATACCTAGTTATGTTTTCCTATGGTTAACCTGCGATGATAGTGCGTCTACTCATCAATCGTGCTTACCGATACATTCTAACGTGCCAAGGATCTGTTTAACATCGCTGATCAGATACGAAGATCAATAAACTCCCTGGCGCGATATCTGAGCAAATAAGATGATATTATCAAATATCTCCGCTCATCAGCATGTGGTGTAGCACATCACAGTTCACACGTTGGTTATGTGATGGCTCAGTCACGGTCGATTTAGCAGTTCAGCAGTGCCACCGAACTCTGTTGAGCTGGGTTTGCGCCTTGCGGTGAGCTGAGCTGAGATCTTAGTGAGCAAATGACTCAGATCAACTGGTATAGTATATTAGAGTTGTCGGCCAGCAGGGCAGCGTTTCTGGCCAGCACTGCCCCCACTGGCCGCCGCTGTCCCGCTGACCCCGCTGGTATTCTTGCTCCCGCTGATCTCTGACAGCCGCTGTCCCCCCCCCTCCTGGTCCCTGCAGCAGCCTCTATCTCCGCCGGTCCCTGGTCACGCGGTCCCCGCTGGTCATTGGTCCCGCTGGTCTCTGGTTACGTTGTCCCTGCTGATCTCTAGTCCCGCTGCCCCCGCTGGTCTCTCAGTCACTCTGTCCTCGATCTGAGACCGACCAGGCGCCCCTCCACCCACCGAGCGGCGGCTGCCTCATCAATCACCACCGCCTGCAGCGCTGCGGGAAGCCAGGCGCTCACTCTGGAACCAGAGAGACTGACAGTGGAACCAGACACAGTGGAACCGGCATAGTTGAACCAGGCTCAGTAGAATCGGGCACGAACCTTCGGTTCATTACTCGCATTCTTCTCAATTACGACAGCGTGAGCGTTCTTAGAGTCCACTTATGCTGTGATCGTAGAGATGATCTGAAATTCACGCCTCCCCCTCCCGGGGAGGGGCGATGACCGGGGTCAGAGGTCACACTGGTGGCAGCGACCGTCACGGAACAGACGCTACGGCTACTATCAACAGTCATTGCGTGAATAAATAAACGAGCTCCCTGACACGCATTCACAAGTCATGGTACTGTGGGCGTCCGTTAGTTGTTTTTTTTCGAGCTAGCATCGAAATACACGCAAGTTTGAGTATGAAACTATGCCAATACGGGAACATTGAAATTTTGTTACTTTCGGATCCATTGCATTGCCACCTACCAGCCCATGGTGTGCATATCGAAACAATGATGTTATTCGTTTCTGTGGCATTTTTAACAATATTTTATGAAACGAGGCCGTGTCGTCTTGTACATAATTACAATGCCTACGGGGCGTGATGTGTGGACAGAAATTGGAGGCCAGAGCATTGCCGTTTTGGTCCCACCTTTGACGGCTCCCACTTCAGCCCGGCTGTGACCGCCATTGACCATCTCTTGCAATTTGCCCCCTCGCTGATGGTCCGCCGGTCCCTGCCGCAGGTCCTGACGCGCCGCAGGTGACCACGGTCCCGCGGGACCAGCTGGTCCGCCGCGGGACCACGGCCACCTTCAGATGCCACTACCGGAACGCCGAGACCACCGAGTGGTTCCTCGGGGACCGAGGACCACTGACGTCATCGGGGTGAGTGCGTGGTGACGTCATTATTTTGTTGTGCTCATGCATCAATCTTTTTTCTTGTGATATGCCTTTTTTATTTTTGCGTAGGAGCAATCATAATTTAGCTTATCAGTAAACGCGCCCTCGGCACAATTAATACTATTTTGTTGTAATCTTGCGCCAGGTCAGCAGTAAGACAAATGATTATTTTATTATCAAAGGCCGAGATTTTCGGCATAAACTTTGTCGATAGTACATCAAAGAACAGTGCTTGTGTATAGATGATGTTCTACTACCGCCGATCACACAGCCCCGACATCTGATCAATGTCAGCAAATGGTGTGGGACATTTCATCGAACAGAAAAACATTCACTCATGGGCTAGTACATGTGACAGCTTCAGACACCGACATCTGTCCGGCTTTTCGAGAATCGGTACCGGGTAAAGGTTTGTAAGTCTGCGCGATTAAGGCCGATAACAGGCGATAACGCCGACTGGAATTGGATTGGGCTCCACGGAATCAGATCATAAATGTTTATGTCACGAAATGCTCTTCATACGGTGTGCGATCGTGCGGCATTTTAGATATGACGCTTTGTAAGAAGCATGGACTTTGCGGACTTGTTTCGTTTATTTGCCTTTGATGATGCCCTCGCATTTACAAGAGCGGTCGTCTTCGAATTTATCCTTCCCACTTCACTTCTTACCCTGCTCCCTGAGACTAGATATGATTGATTACGTCATCTTATAGTGATTGTTAGACTTCCAAACTCAATTGCATGCATTGAACCTCACTTAGAGCTTCTACCCTTTAAATCCATCGAACTTCAGGCGTGAGCCAGGCTAGGCCAGGCCTGAACACTGCCTGAGTGGTATTTAGAATCGTATTGATTTCGCATTTCCTACGCCATGACATATAAAATCGCATCCGAATGAAGCAGGCTGCTGCAGCGTTGAATTGATCAAAAGAGTTCGGTATTCGTATCACGTTCGTGACATTTTGTTTGTCTAATTGACCTGCCAATATCAGGCATGGTCTCAACAGAAGCGCTGCGTGTTCAATTTATAACGCTTTTACGTGGAACAGCGGTATGCTATGTGCGCAACCCACGTCCCGCAGCGCAAAAGGTCATTTCCTCATGCTGGAGCATTGTGAGCTTCGAGTTGAAATGGAGCTTGGCACGGTCGGCTGCCAAGCTCAGTCGTCCGTGTCAGGAGCCTCTGCCATAGGATCCTGGCAGTCTATGGCAGAGACTGGCTCTCGTTATACATTTAGGCCTAACACGATTATGTAGTTTCGGTTCTGTCATACGATAAACGTATATCTTTCTCATTACATCTTACATCAGCCTGTGTATGCTCCGATTGAGAAACGTTCTAAGGCTTATCTCCAAAGATCGCATTTGCGTTTATCGTTTTGAACCACTGTTTTTGCTGCGCGTGAGGACCGCTCTTGGGTATGCTAAAACAGAGCAGATGAACCTTAACAACATCGTGTTCTGATCGCTACCAAGCTGTACCTATTCACCCAACTCAGCTACCCCAAGTCTCAACCATTCTGTGATGTTGATGCAGGCCAAGCCAGTTAGCCTTGCAGTGGCCGGAAGCATTTCCTTACCTGACCTAACTACCTCGTTTCGAATAGCTAAGTGCGTTGGGTTTGGACGCGATCGTTGCTAAGACCGTGAGTCAGTCTACACAGCGTCTGCAGAATGACGACAGCTCAAGCTGTTTTCGCGCGCAGCAGCGAGCGAAAACAGCTTGAGCAAAGGACAGCTGGAGTAAAAGATGATTAGAGCAATAAGCAAAAGACAGCATCGAGACAGCTTCAGTCAACAGTTGACGCCTTCGTTAAGTGATATTAGACGGGAGTAGGCAGTAGCTCACCGCTCCGTCCGTCAGGTTCGGCGGACGGACGGGGGCCTCGCGTGCGGCGGCTGTCCGTATACCGGGGACATAGGTGTCACTACAGCAGGAAATACGAGGGACGCGGACTGGGCTGCCGTGTCGGGTCTGTTCCCCTGCAGCACGGGTCATTGGTCGCTATCAGGGGTCAGCAGTCACTGCTAGCGGTCACCGGTCACTGCTCCGGAAGTAACAGTCACTGGTCGGTATCAGGAGTCACTGACCACTGACCAGTGCGTACTAGCGGTTACCTGTCACTGCCTCGGTAGCAGTGGTCACTGGCTTTCTTTAGTGTTAAAATCGGCATCAGCGTCACTGGTCGACGCAGCAGTCACCGCGCCTTCAAGAACAGTGAAACCCTATCGACACGCTGCCTACTTTCTGCCTGCAGTCGGATGGACCTGTTGATATACCGCTTATCACCAGTTATCGCCCATTGGAACCAATCGAGACAGATAACTCTCAATGAGCCGGAACCCTTCAGTTGAGGAAGAGGCAGCTGAGAAGGAGAGAAACTACATATTATCGAGGAAGCATTCCGACTCGCAAGACGTCTTGTACATACTTCTGGTCAAACCCCATACCCTGTACCCTTTGAGAAGAAGTAAACGGTGCTATCTAACGGCACTCTGCTCTGACGTTCTCTGTACCCCACTCTGTGTCGTACCCACGTACTCCTGTCTGACCGCTGTACCCCCTGTACCGCCGGCAGGAAGTAGTTATATGGTGCTGTCCAACTGTGCTCTGTTCTGATGTACCCCAGTACCCTTGTCTGACCGCTGTACCCCCATGTACCGCCGGCAGGAAGTACACGGTACTGTCCAACGGTACGCTGCTGGTGTCGGACGTCTCGGAGGCAGACGTCGGCTGGTACCACTGCGTCGGACGACAGTCGGCGAACGAGGCCAACCCACAGACCTACAGCGCCCAGCTAATACTGGCCTGTGAGTGACCAAAGCCCCTATGAGTGACCCGGACCCTGGGAGGGGAGAAAGGGACCGACAGTTGACGAACGAGGCAAACCCGCAGACCTACAGCGCCCAGCTCATACTGGCCTGTGAGTGACCCGGACCCCTGTGAGTGACCCTGGGGGGGGGGGGGGGGGGACGGACAGTGAACGAGGCCAGCCCACAGACCTACAACGCCCAGCTCATACTGGCCTGTGAGTGACCCGCACACAGAGGGGAGTGGGCAGCTGATTGAACATTTGCCCCTGGGGCTGGACGACCTGACCCTTGTCGGTATGCCCGCGCCATCGGGACTGTTTAATTTGATATTGCCTTACCATCTGATCTCACCAACCGTGATCCGACCTGCCATGATCTTACCAGCCGTGACCTGACCTTCCATGACCTCACCAGCGTGACCTGGCCTACAATGACCTCACCAGCCATGACCTGACCAGCCATGACCTCATCAGCTGTGACTTCTCGCTCCGTGGTCTAATCAGACATGACCTGACCTATACAATGACCCAATCAGCTGTGCTCTAACAGGCCGTGACTAAACTGACCTGCCCTCCGCCCTCCGGCAGACCTGGAGCCGCTGACTGCCCGCTCAGTGGAGCCGCCGCCGCCGCTGCCCCAGCTGTACGTGGTGCCGGCGGGCCGCCCGTTCCAGCTGAGCTGTCTGCCGCCCGAGGGCCGGCCCCCGACTGCCGTCTGGTGGGAGGCTCCCGATGGAGCCGTGCTCGGAAAACCGCGCAAGGTAGGCTGAAGATAAGGCTGAACGGGGTCACACAGGGCTCAACGTGTGACCAACGGGGCAGGGTATCGATGTTTTATCCGCAGGTTGATTTTTCCTCGACATATAAGGCACTATAAGGCACGACATATAGTGCCGCCGAAGGACATGAAGATAGTCCTTCGGCTATCGGTGTTATTGAATGTATTTAATCTAGCGGAGTTCCTGCTGCAACCGTAAGTAAGGACTGAATCAACTTGTGTTTTTGTCCTCTTTTATGTCGCCGTCATTGGCACCCATCCTTTCTGTTCCACTGACCCTACTTTAACCCGCGCCCTGCTGGGGGGGGGGGGTGTTTGAACACCCCCCTTGTGGTTTTTCGCGAATATCTCAAAAACGGCGGCGCTCCGCGCCGCCGTTTTTGGTACACCTTATCATACATCAATTCTACACATGTTGTGAAAATTTCAGACCAAGGTCATTCAAGGTCAGGTCACCAGGTCACTTGAAGTGACCTCACCTCATAAAAAGTTTCAATGTCTGTCATAGCTACACCGAGTGACCGATCGCTTTGAAACTTTCAGCGATTGTTAAGAGCAATAGCACGTACAAAATGTATATCTCAGAATTTTGATATCGGTGACCTAAGGTCAGGTCAATTTTGCGACATCCCCATTACCTATATAAGTCAATGGGAGAAAATTGAAATGCGCCTCTTTTGGACGAAAGACATTATAAACACTCCCAAACACTGAATTACAAGTGGTTTAGACACACTGAACATGAAAATGGTGTCCGTGACCCCTGTTTATGCCCTGAGGTCATCTTAGGTCACGAATGGTATCTAACAGTTTTTCGCAAATAACTTTTGATAGAGGCATGCTAGAGCGATGAAAACGCATTAGATGTGTTCAGCTCAACGATACGGGTCGACTGATATGCAACATGACCCTTTCAGGTCAGGTCATGACCTTGACCTGAGGTCAAATTTTCAAGTTGACCTTTCAAGGTCAAGTTATAGTTCATTCGATGCGTCTTGACGAGAGGAACACGATGCCGGTAAAAGTAAGCTCGTGCAAGGCTTGGGTCAAAAGTTATTACAGAAAAACTGTTTCCGAAAAAAATCGGCTATTTTTGCAGTTTTTGCCCCCTGCAGGTAAAACAAACCGTTGACGTTAGGTCAAATCTGAGAAAAATACTCAGAAAGGGCGTTAATAGGGCTATCGAATGCGCTTTTCCGCGGCGCTGTATTTTGGTTCCCGAGTTATGCGTTGGCACCTTGGAAATTGTCGACATTCGACCTGGAAATCGGCGAAATTTTGCCTTCAATGACCTCTGGTGACCTGACCTTTGACCTGACCAAAAAATTGACCGAAGTGATTTCCTCATTATTTTTGACGCTCTTTCGAACGCCGCCTTCCGCGTATCGCTACGTGGCCCAGGAGCCGAGTTAGAAGGGGGGGGATGTTCAGACACCCCCCCCCCCCGCCCAGCAGGGCGTGGAAATCCAGGACCCCCAGCCGGGCGCGGGTTAACGTTATTATGACCGGTCGTGTTCCCGTCTGTCTGCAGGAGCCGGCCGTTCTGTCTCTGGACCTGGCCCGTCAGAGCCACTCGGGAAACTACAGCTGTGTAGCTGAGAACCTCTCCGGCACCAGCAGCCTGCAGGTTCAGGTGCTCGTCACAGGTCAGTGATGACAAGGTCGAAGAAGCGTCTATCATCTAGGGCTGATACTTCTCCCAGTGAAGCGAATCTAGAGAGATGGCTGGGGGTCAGTGACGGGGACTGGGGAAGACGGTTAGGTGCGATACAGTCCATGAGAGATCGTTGAGGGCTGTAGATATCGTCACTGTGTAGGATCTGTCCTGTGGCATTCACAAGGCAAAGGCTTGGTGGCGACGGTGGCGACGGTACTTGACCCAGTTCTTGGTAGGTATGTGATGTATGTCAAATGTCTGTCGTGTGACTGTGCAGCTTTTTGTGCGCTTCTTTTGTACCATGTTTTGTCAGATTGCTGGGAAACGTGCTTATAGGCAGTGTTTGCAAGTTCTCTGCTAGTGCAGTTGTATTCAATGCTTTGGATTTTCCACAAACAGTCGCATTGGATGGCGATCGTAGAAGCTACGTGTTGGCGACTCTTTGGCATCCCAAGATGTCCACGATAGAATACCTGCAGCGTTAGGTATCAGCGAAACACAATCATCGATCACTCGAACCAAATGCGTCCCCATCTGGTCTGCAGATCCTCACACGCTAAATCGACCCTTATCCAGGGTTTCTGGGCCATGAATTTCTGTCTGTGGACGCCTACTTCCCCACTAAGATCTGTGTTCTGACTGTTTCACAGCTCCCCCGGAACTGGCGGCGGGGCCGTCTAACGTCATCACAGAGGAGGGTCGACCCGCCGAACTCAGCTGCCTATTCAGGGACCTGCAGCGACGCTTCGCCACCGTCACCTGGATGAAGGACGGACAACCGGTCAGCACGCCCAGCAAGGTAAGAGGTCCAGTGAGTTGACTCCTCCGCTGCTATCGTGCCAGCTGACTTATGGTGTCCTGATTGAGCTCAGATCAACAGTTAGGGCACCTTGACTGAACTTGGCGTGTAACGAAGACCTCTGGTGTACTGACAGACCTCTGTTTTATCTAGAATGACATCTGGTACTCTCACTGACCTCTGTGGTACCCTCACTAACCTCCGGTATCCAGACTCACCTCAGGTACCCTGACTGACCTTCGTTGCCCTGACTGACCCAAGGTACACTGAATGACCTCTGTGGTACTCTGAGTGACCTCAGGTACGCTGACTGACCTTTGCCTTTAACCAAGGTGACCTCTGGTACCCTGTCTGAGCTCAGGTGTCCTCACAGACATCTGTGATACCTCGATTGACCTCTGTTATGTACCTACCCTGACCTCTGGTGCTCTGACTGACAATTGTGGTCTGCTATCCTGCACCACCTAAAGACACACATCGTTTCCGTCTCTCCGTAGTCTCCGCTAGCCATGCTAGGATGACCCGTGTCTCTCCTTCCTGGTTGCCGGTGGCACTAATAGTACCCGCCTCTCTCCTCCCCTCAGGTGACTGAGGACAGCGACACACTGGTGATCCCAGTGTCGGAGCTCTCTGACGCCGGCCAGTATCAGTGTGTGGTCAATGCCACCGGGTTTCAGCCAGTTGTCTCCCCGGAGGCAACACTCACCGTCCGAGGTAGGCAATAGGCATTTGAACAACGTAAGATGTTCATCTTACCACCTGATGCCCGTTTAACGCGATTGGTGATTATATTTGTCAAATATTCGCTTCTTTTCGTGATAGGAGGAAATGAACTGCTAGTGTTTCTAAACAGAGACAAAACGTGTCGGAGTTCGCTCTTTGTATGCTTAAAATTGTCACTTTTGTGTCGTGCGTGTTTGCCGCAATGTAGCTCTACAAAGTAAAAAAAATGAACAATGAACGTTAGCCATACACCCAGCCTCCACCTAGCTGACCTGCCCTGACCTCTGTCGGCTGTACAGAGAAGCTCAAGTTCTCTCCGCGGCCGGTGAGCCAGGCCCTGGAGCTGGACAAGCCGGGCCGATTGCACTGCCGGGCGGCTGGCAGCTCGAAGCCTACCGTGGGCTGGGTGCGAATCCTGCCCTCCGGCCGGCCGCAGTTCGAGTGGCCCCCGCACGTGACAGACGTGAACGGGACGCTGCAGTTCAACCCGGTGCGGGAGTCGGATGGCGGAGAGTACAGCTGCGTGGCTACCAACGCGCAGGGGTTCATCAACGCGACAGTGAACCTGACTGTGGTCGGTGAGTTAGATGCAGCGGGAGGTGGGTGGAGGGAGGGAGGCCGGAGAGGCGTTTTGGGTGGAGGAGCTGAAGATTAGCGAGGGGTCGAGGAGCCAGAATGGGACTCATTTCGGCCACTTGCTGAATCACACGGTTTTCTTAAAGTCGTTAATGACCATGGTGAGCAATTAGGCTCTGATAAGTGCAGTGGACTTTTTCGCGAAATACCTAACCTAGCTTTTTTGTGGACTTTGATACCCTGCAGACTAAGACTCCTATGTACAGTATTTATCGATCACATCCCACGCAGCAGCACCCTCCTTCCCTCTCTGACGGCAAGTGTTGGTCGCGTCTGCAGTGACTCCCAAGTTCCTGACACCGGCTCGCACTCCGCTGGAGGCGGTGGTCGGTCGTTCGGTCCTCATCGACTGTCAGGTGTACGGTCGGCCGGAGCCCAGCGTTCAATGGGACAAGGACTCCAAACTGACCGGTCTCGACGACTCCAGGTCAGTTCGGAAGGAATGGGGGGGGAGGGGGGGCTGGAGATCCGCGGTTAGTCGGTCCCGTCCCGACCGAAAGGAAATAGTGCCGCGTACTATTCTATCTTTCTTGCCGATTTATTTGCAAGTCGGTTTGGGACGAGTGAGGCAACCAGCTCCGAATATACATGGTATAACAATAACAGATCAAGATTTATCTATGTAGACTGCCTTTTTTGATATGCCAATGGTCCTCTCTGTTTAAAACCCAAAACCCAACCAATTTTTATCAGCTACATTAACACGTTTAGTAAGTGTCCAAACGTGGGTTTTGCGACTGTTCAGTGTGTCCTCTCCCCGGCAAGTGTTTTTCTCGTCTCGTGTCAAGTCTAAGTGACTCGCCATGGTCTCGTTGTAACATATCTGGTTGTATGTCGGCAGGGTGGTGGTGCTGAAGAACGGCAGTCTGTACATCAAGGAGCTGCGTTATGAGGACGAGGCGCGCTACGGCTGCATCGCCGGGAACAGCGGAGGGTTCTCCCGTCAGGAGACCCAGCTGCTGGTCAGGTGTAAGTGAATACGCCAACACATGCCTATTTTAAGGATAAATTGGAATTTCCTGATTCATTCATGTGTTGCTTTACTAAGTTATATAAAATTTATCGGCATTCATCACTTAGTCAAATTGGTATTCGACCAGTACAGTCCATCGCTGTCTCACTTCTACATAAGTTCTAGACATGAGACAGCATTGTTACAACTCCTGCTATCCGCTGACGCCTGTGACCCAGCTGAAGTCACCCCTGCCGCCGACTGGCCCTCCTCCCCTGCCGCCCTCCTCTTCTCCTCCGTCGGTTGTGACCCAGCTGAGAGCTCCCCTGCCACCCACTAACCTCCCCTCCCCTCCCCTCCGCCCTCAGCCTCCGAGTCGGACCTCACCCAGCGCGCGATGACGCCCGGCGTGGCTTCCGATGACGGCGGTCTGATGACGCGCACGGTGCTCATCACGGTGTCAGCCGCTGCCGCCTACCTGGTGCTGGTGGCCGGTCTGATGGCCTGGTGCCGCTACCGGCGCATCAAGAGGAAGCAGCAGTACCTACGCACCGCAGCAGAGGGCACCAGCGTACTCCGTGAGTGGACACACCTGGCGTGTGTGGGATAGTGTGAGAGTGAGATCTGATGGGGAGGATGAAGAGACATTCTGTCAGTAACAGGCTGATGATCACCGTTCCGTGCTCCTATCCTCAGGATACAGAAATCCTTCTCCTCCACGCCGCAACCCCCCTCCGGGCTGGACAGGCAACTTTATCTCATGCGGGCTGCTCCCTTGGAGCGGCACCGCTGCTCCCAAGGGAGCGCACCCCGTAGCCGGGTGCAGTGAGTGCCTTGAGGCTGGGTGGCCTGTCCTCTGGACGGGCTCAGCCCCGGCGACTCACTAGGGTGCCTGCCCAGACCAATGTCTCCCCCTATATCCTATCATCCTCCCGGCTCTGAAATGGTCTCATTGGACCGAAAGGGCCTAACCCAACAAAACAAAACAAACAAACAGGCTGATGAGAGAGGTGGGGAAAGCGGATAGATATGGTTTATGCCTCCCGAAACGCTTATCATGACGATCTTTATATCGTCTGATGACCATCCTATTGTATGATTTCTTATTCTAACCCCCTGTTTTATCTGGCTGCAGTGGATAAGACGGATGGCGGCGGCAGTAGCGGTGGCGGCGGCGGCTGTCCCCGGGCGCGGTACATCCAGTACCCGGGCGACCTGGCTCCGTCAGACAGCGCCTCGTGCGGCTACCACAGCCCCTCTGTTCAGACAGCCGGCTACCACAGCTACCAGAGTATCCGGTCCGACTGCGAAGCGCCACCCAGCTGTGGACGCACCTCCGCGGCGGGCGCGTCCGACCGGTCCCGGCCTGAGAGACATCAGCTGCAGCCCGTCATGCCGCTCGGTGAGACTTCGGGAGGGGCGGGGAGGTGGGGAGGAGGGGAGGAGGACACTGGTGGGTGAGTGAGAAGGGCAGAGATACTGAGAGGGCAGTAGGAAGAAGGGAAGGAGAAGTGTACTCATATCGTTCGCAAACATTATTCGGGCATGAGTGGTGTGCTGTGTCTGATTGTGCAGTGAGCTGTGAGACTGTGAATGAGTGCCCCCCCCCCCCATCAACGATGTTTGTTTACTTCTGTGACGTGCAATGGCGAAAAGCCACTGAGTGCAGTGGACTCGTTGTGAATAAATAAGTTTCAAGTTAAAAAAAGCAGAATAGGAATGTTACTAATTTTGTGTTGAATTTTACAATGACGCTGTCTTCCTTTAATCGCCCCTCTGTTTCTCCAGCCCATAGCAGTTGTTCATTGCCACAGAATATCGTCAGTTGGACATCATTTAAAGCCCCTTTCGCAGTCACTGCATTTTCACTGCCCAGCTGTAACACTGTGTCCCGTCCCTCAGGTCACGGCGATTTCGGCGAGGTATACCTGGCGCGGGTGAAGCGTCGAAAGCGCTCTGAGCGGGGTGGTACGTCCGATTCTGACCACCCCATCGTCATGGTGAAGACCCTGCAGAACCGACAGCCGCACCTGGAGACGGAGTTCGCTCGCGAGGCCGAGCTGCACGGCCTGGTACCGGGCCACCGGGCCGTGGCCGCGCTGCTGGCCCACTGTCACGAGCAGCTGCCCCATCTGATGGTCGTCGAGTACACCGACTGGGTGAGCCGGCTGAGGATACAGACTGTACTGAGATCCTGGCTGTCCTTTCCTTGTCTTTCCAGCCTTGCTGCTGGCTGGTCCTCAGGCGCAGAACGGGGCACAGTGAAACGGAAGACGAATCTCTTCGAACTTAGCGAGGGTTGTGAAGAGTCCCCGGAATAAATTGGTCTAGTTTTATCACGTAAATTTCGCTTTGTAATCGTTAGGTAAACGTTGTTTGATGTTCGACTTTATCTAAGCTGTTCGACTTATCTTAGTTCGTTTCGGCAGGGTGACCTGAAGCAGTTTCTGCTGGCGACTCGGCCCGACTCGAGCCGGGGCGGTCCGCGGCCTCCTCCACTGAGCGCGGCTCAGGCTACCAGTGTGTGTCACCAGGTGGCCGCTGGACTGGCGCACATCCACAGCCACGGCTTCATACACAGGTTAGTACAGACACACCCACAGCCACGGATTCATACACAGGTGTGTGCAAAGCAGATATAGACACAGTTACAGACACAGACACAGCCATATCCAGTCACAGCCTCATCCACAGGTGAGTACAGCCACAGATACGTACTTCAAAGGCGACTGTGTGTATAGGTTGTCAGTGGCGGGTTTTCGATCGGCTTGTATCGTGGAGCGTCCTTTGTCACTTTCCTTGGTCTATCTGTTGTACTCAATTCTCACTCAACGCTTAGTGCTCAGAATTGTACATTACCAGCTCTTTCTGTCCGACTGTGACGCTGCGCTGCTCCTCCGCAGGGACGTGGCTACACGCAACTGCCTGATCACCAGCGGGCTGGGTGTGAAGCTGAGCTGCGGGAGGCTCTCGCACGACACGTACAGCGCTGAGTACTGCCTGTTGCGCGGCCGTCGGCTGCCGCTGCGCTGGCTGCCCGCCGAGGCCGTGCTGCGCGACCAGATGACCAGCCGCGCCGACTGCTGGGCCTGGGCCGTGCTCTGTTGGGAGGTGCTGCGACGTGCAGAGCTGCCCCACGCCGGCCTCTCCGACGAGCAGCTGGCCCGCGCCGGGCCGCCGCCGCTCTCTGTGCCGGCCGAGGCGCCGGTGCACCTCGCCGCAGCCATGCACCGCTGCTGGGCGCCGGCCGTGGCAGATCGGCCAGACATGGGACACGTGCTGGACATGCTGTCTGGACCGCCAGACGGTGAACCGTGAACAGGGTACGCAGCCAGGGGACGGAGGACCGGCGGAGAGGACCGTATTGGTCCTCAGACAGGGTGATTTGGTGGACCGCTGAGGAGGAACAGTGGTCCGCAGTGTTTTTGCTTGTGTGTCTACCAGTAGCAATGTCAGGACTAAACACATGCGGGCTCGTGGGTGCGATAGCGGAAGTGCAGCCATTTAATATCTATGTAGTATGATTATGTGGTTAGAGGAAGTGAATGGTCACGTGTAATTACTGTCTTATATGTTTGTTAGATCCGTATTACAACGCTGTCATTATAAAATGGCGGCTTATATGTGCGTCAAGAGCGGTTAGCCAGGGTAACAGTGGTTTTATTTTTCGCCAACTTGGACAGAGACAGTCCACAATCTGCCAAGGAGTCCGAGGTGGAATCAGTTTGCGCTATGCGGAGTGTCCGTTGGAGTCAGGCAGCGAGTCACTGATGGAGTCGGGTGGATTTAATTGGAACGTTAGTAGTCAGCTGGAGTTGGAAATCGTCTATATCCTCCAACCGCTGTGCAGTGCTGCTTCACTGGCAGCCGAGCGGTATGCTCCCAGAGGACTCAGTGTTGCACGGGGTAGTCCTGAGGACACTTCCTGTCCTGTACGTGTCCTAAGGACACCAGCGGCTTTGGACTCGGCTAAGCCGTCACGTCTCTCTGTTGAACTGTTCACCACTCGTATTCGCCGGGTCAGTTGCCTTGTCGCCTCACTATTGGACGACCTTATGCGACATGATGCGCCAACACTCGTGATCAGCGCTCCCGTTCACGTGCAATGTGAGCTTGCTTCAGCGGGATTCCGCACTATGCGATTGTGTTCTCGTGTATTTTCATGGTTATTGCTAGTCGTGCCACGCATGTGTCACTTGATTTGCCGTACGATGTTCGGAGGAATGGATGTTTATTTGTTTTGCATTCGTATACTGCTGATCTACAATCGAGAGTCTAACAACGAACGTGCTGAGCAGATTGATGTCTTTATTATCGACGAAAGTGGGCTGCAATTAACTTCATACTCGTGAATCAATCGTTGGAAATATGGATGTCAAATCATTCCGCTTTTCCACTCTCAAGTGCCGCGAGCTTCATTATGGGTGAAAGGGGAGAGACACAGTCACATGATCCGAAATACCTAACTACTGAACAGAACTTAAAACACGCAAAAATATCGTGAGAACGCTCAGGTATACGATCCTTACGGTTTAATTTATACGATGTATACTGTTGAAATATTCACTCACATCGTTGCAAGAGTAACCGTGATAGACATTTAAAGTTGTGCAGATCAGAGCGCTAACGCTATACCACGATCCATTCAGAATGCATGCGGGGGAACGGGGACTTGACCCGCGCAAAAGTGGAACATACCTGGATGACCGTACTCAGTTTTATTGCGCAGTTGATGAGAATAGGATGACACGCATGCAATCAGTCTTGAGTATTTTCAGTGATGTGCACAATAGGTGCCTACAAATGTCACAAATCATGCGCACGTAAAAGCGTTATTACTTATTTAGCTGTAAATAATTCGCCTCATCAGAACAAAGAGAGGACATATATACCTATTGTCAGTTATGTAGGTCAGAAAAAGACGTTACATCATGAAAAAAGGCACTAATGGCTGTCACAGGCTCGGATATGTGTAATCGCAATGCAAAACACCATACAATTGCCTACACAAATGCTGCGAACTCGCGCCTGCGACTAGACAGTTTCACTGGCTGGGTAGGCTGTACCGCATTACATGCCTGACCGGGTAGGCTAGCCCGCAATACAGCTGCACGTTTTTTTTTTTTGCTGCCGGGCGGACGTTCGAAATGGTTATTGTCGCTTCATCTGTCACTGAGGATGCCTGGTGATGCGATGTTTGCTAGTTCGACACTTTGCTGGTGTAGGTATGGTCAAGAGTTTGAACTCTACACGTCATGCGGCATCCGGTCGTTTTGTAGAGTTGACTAAGCCCGTCCGTCGCAAGCTCTCGTTGAAAACCGCCCGCCATGTCATTCAGAATTCAGTTATCATCGTTCAGTCCCTGTAACAACAGAGTGCACATTTCATGATCAATTAAGTAAAATTAGATACATTATTAATTCCGAACATGACTTCAGCAGATCTCGCGGGTTTTAGCGGTAGGTTTTGCACCTAGAAAATTAAGTTTTTAAGTGTTGAAGATGCGATCGACTTGTTGGTTCACAAGCCGGCCATGATCGTGTAAAATGGCTTCATCGTATGATCGATTAGTCTTTGAGATATAACCGAAAATGTAAAAGTGCAAAGTCCAGGTACCGCTTAATCTCGCGAGAGCCGTACCGATTTTTATGTAGGTATTTATTAAATGGCAGTTACTGTTAATTAAGTACTACATTACATTACAAAGCACTGCAGAGCATAGGCGTAGGAACGTTTTCGAAAGTGGGGGGGCCAAGGTCCCAGAGGTCCAAAACCTAACCTACCCCCAAAATCCGATTTCTCCTCGGATTTCGGCCACTTTGTTTTCGCAAACATGATCAGAGATAAAAAAAAATCGAGACAAAAACAAAAACAAAATTGGTTAAAATTTCAGGGAGACTCCCGTCCATAAACTCAAACTGATGGACGCGTTCCCCTGTCCTCCGTAGCCGTTGGCACCCATGCAAATTCCAGAGGCATCCAGCAACTTTTTCATTACGAGCAAGCGTGAAACGTGCAAAGCGAGTCTTTTCAATATGCCTATAAAAATCAGCATGAACGGCCCAGCTAGGCTCAGCCAGACCCATAACGTTTTTAAGAGGTTTTATATCAGCGACCACTGCAACTGGGCTAATTGACTATCAGAGGCCGGTGTGGGACTTTTAGAGGTCGGTCTGGGCCATCAGAGGCCAGTTTAACCCTCGCCGGACAAAACCTATAGGTTTTCTACATACGCGCCGGCCGAGGGGGCGGGGGGCGGGTACGACCCCCCTCGCCGTTGCGCCCCAGGTTGAGCTAGCGCGTCGCGGAAAAACGAGCGTGTACGCCGTTACAAGACGCAGAGATCGATACCCGTTTTTAAGGTTCTAGGTCAACCGGTGACCTCTGAGGTCAGGTCAAGTGTCTCAAGGCACGGTTCCGTTTTTGGTGAATAACTTCGCAAAAAACGGCCGCAGAGCCGCGATTTTGCCAGCATCGTGTTCGCCTCTCTCAGGCGCGTCGAATGATGTACTTTTTGTTTGGGTGAGGTAAACTGAGGGTGTTGACCACGGGTCACGGTCAGGTCAGCGCCCCCAGGTCACGAAATTGGTCGAAGGAGGTCATGTCGCATATCATTCGATTAGGCAGGTCTTCCTGAGTCCATTGATGGCTTCCCCGACTCGCTAGCTCAATTTGATCGGTAGTTATTGACGACAAACTTATATGACCCTTATAACTTCATAAATGACGTCGAGCAAGGTCAACATTGCAAAAGTGACGCATCGAACCTTGCAAGGAGTGCATGAAAGATTCAGTGTGCTTGAGATAGTTGAAGATCGTTTACGGCGCCAGAAAAAGTTTTCAGTTTATCCCCATTGACTTATACCTAATGGTGAGGTCACGAAAATGACCTTAGGAAAAATCCGAAATGTACAAGTTGTGAGACCCTAATGGATACTAGGTCCTCCAAGGTTCATTTCCCTGTGAAATCTCCTCTGGCAGTGAGGGCGTTGCGAAGTTGCGACATCTGAAGACCGTGCAGAGGTTCACTTATGACCTCATGGGTCAGTGACCTGATCTGACCCGAAAATGCGGTTGGTGTCAAAAGATCCGGCTTGATTCAAAGGTCAGGTATGCAAAGCTTCAGCTCTCTATCACCGGCGTGTTCGGAGCTATCGCGAAAAAAAAACTATGGAGGGGCGGCACCCGCCCCCCCATCGGCCGGTGAGGGTTGAGGCCCTCAGAGACCAGTACAGGGCCTGCAAAGGGCAGGATGAAACATTTAGATGCCGACTTGGGCCATCAGAGGCTAATGTGGGCCCTTACAGGCCAGCATGGGCCCTCAGAGGTCAGTGTGGGACCCTAAAATGCCGGCATGGGCCGGTGTTGGACCTCAGAGGCCAGCAGAAGGCCCTCAAAAACCAAGATGGGCCTCAGAGGCCAGCATCGGGTCTTCAGAATCCAGTGCAAGGCCCTCAGAGGCTAATGCGGGTCCTTACAGGCCAGCATGGGCCCTTAGAGGTCAGTGTGGGGCCGTAACAGACCGGCATGGGCGGGACCTGGAACCTAGAGACCAGCGGAAGGCCCTCATAGGCCAAGGTGGGCCCTCAGAGGCCGATGCGGACCCTTAGAGACCGGCATAGGATCTTCAGAATCCAGTGCGGGGTCCTTAGAGGTCAATGTGGGACCCTAAAATACCAGCTTGGGCCGGTGTTGGACCCCAGAGACCAGCAGAAGACCCTCAAAAACAAAGATGGGTCTCAGAGGCCGGCATCAGGTCTTCAGAATCCCGTACAATGCCCTCATAGGCTAATGACGGGTCCTTACAGGCCAGCATGGGCCTTAGAGGTCAGTGTGGGGCCCTAAAAGACCGGCATGGGCCGGCGTTGGACCTCTAAGGCCAAGATGGACCCTGAGAGGCCGATGCGGACCTTAGAGGCCGGCATCGGGTCTTCAGAAATCAATTCAGTGCAGGACCCTCAGAGGCACCTAAAGGTTAGTCTTGGGACCCCAGAGACAGAAATGAGGCCACCAGAGGCCGGTGTGAGGCCCTCAGACGCCGACTGGGCCCTTGAGGCCGGTTTAGGGGCCCTCAAATGAGGTCAATGTGGGTTCTCAGCGGTCAATGTCGGCGCTTGACCGCCACTGAAGTGCCCTCCAAGATCAGTGTAGGACCCTCAAAGACTGGCTTGGGAGCTGTTAATAGCTAGCGTGGGATTCTTGAGCCTCGTGACAATCGAATAAGGGCCAGAGCCCCATACGCCCATGGGGGCCCATTGGTTGTTTGGGGGGGGGCAAATGATATGATGGCCCCCTGATTAGCCTTTGGAGGGGGAAGGGCATGGCCCTGATCCCCCCCTCTGCGACCGCCACTGCACTGAAAGTGAAAGGGAAGGGGCAGATACAGACATTGCTGGCCCCCAGCCTGTTTGAGCCGAGGCGTCACCCATGGTCACCCTGGCCCCCAGCTAGTACGCCTTTGACGAACTATGCCGACCCCAAGCAGATCCGGTCAAGCGTTTGTCGTTTGTATACGCATTCTCCTGCACCGTGCTAGTATTGTCTTATACCTTTTTCAGTGCTCGCTGTCCCGTGCCTCGTATTCAACAAAATGCTGTCACCAGGACCCACAGTCTTGTCTCTGATATGGTTTCCTTCATTGAGTGAAGGAAATTGCGGTCAATAACGCTGTAGAAACAAAAGGGAATCTTCATTAAAGGGCAAGCTGAATTGTTGTCAAGTTACCGGGTGGTAGCACTGGTACCTAGGTACAGACAGACACTTAAGTCAGCAAAAAGTGGGGGGGCCAGTTAACATTGCTGGCCCCCCCACCTCCGAAAGTGGGGGGGCCATGGCCCCCCCGGCCCCCCCCTGTTCCTACGCCTATGCTGCAGAGTGCAGAGGTAAATTGATTTTATTCCCAATCATCATTGTTCACGGCCAAGTATACCATTACCATCCATTACAAATATTATCAATTGCAGTGTTCAGCAGATGGAAGAACATCAGAACAATGCATTTTCATCAGAGGTCTACGCCATGTTTTTACGAGTGCACCTTGCATCTGACTGACATCAGACTGATGTCTGATGTCAGTCTGTGACATCAGACATCAGACTGGACCAACATCCGCCGGTAAGCCGTCCATCACTGCACGCACCGCATCACTGCAGGGACCTACCGTGACCGACGTGTCTTTCTGAGCAGTCCCGTAGCCTCCGACTCGTTGTCCCTGACGAATGCCGAGCGGATGTCGGGCAGCTGAATCTCGGGGTCGTCACTGGGCGGCTGCAGCAGGTGGCTGAACGGACCAGTGATTGTGTCGCATTTGTGGAGAATCTCGTTGTCGAGCAGGTTGACCCACACCTCCCGGACGGAGGCGTTCAAGAAGTCCAGTCTGGAGAAGCAGAGACTGAACTTAGTGTTAACCCTCGCCCGCACATGGGGGGGGGGGGGTGGTTGCCACCCCCCCCCAGGCAGTCTTTCAGCTCTGCACTCATCATTTTTAGAGCTAGAAGGCTGATTTTTCGTATAGCTGCTCGTCTATCCTTTCTTGATGTCCACTGAAACTTTCAAGTTTCTGTGATTTTTGGTTTCGGAGATATGACCTTGTTTTTCAGGTCATGTCATGACCCAAATGGCCAATTCTCAACATCTTGCGTTTGCCATGGGCCTTGTGAGCTTTCGACACCCTGATTTCGGCCTTTTTTGCCAGTCTTACCTCCCACCTATCATGGAACATGTTGTTCGACGATGTACAGGGGTCAAGGTCAGGGTCAAGGTCAACCTAGGTCATCTAAGATAATTGCGTTTTAGGCAAGCTAAATTTACTTTTTGTGAAGTTTTTTTGACTGCATTTTTGGTAAAAGCTTCTCAGATCATGATTTCATGTGATATGGACCCAAAAACAATCGGTGCACACATCAGTATACACACAGACACACACAGACATACAAACACATATAATTGACCTTGACATAGCTTGACCTGAAATGACCTCAGCAGCAAAATTCTGGTCGGATAGTGTGACAAAGAGGTTCTAGCTGGCTTGGCACCAGAAAACAGCATCGTCATCGGTATTTGATAAGCAGCGTACTTGATATCCAATGGTGACCCAAAACAGCAACATTTTTTAGTTTGACCTGACCTGGAAGGTCAATGACTGACCTGAGAAGGTAAAACTGGGTATCATTGGATTCGTCTCTTCCCAAAGAATCTTTTTGGTCCTTACTGCTAAGCTCTATCTCCAACAGGAACGAAATGGCGCGGGGGGGGGGGTGGCAACCCCCCCCCCCCCATGTGCGTTCTAGGATGGGAAAATGGCATGTGCGGGCGAGGGTTAAGGGCTGGATTGGATTAGACACGCATACGAAAATAGAATAAAGACGGAACATCTTAAGTCTCATCCAGTTATCGTCAGTGAAAGGAAGGGCATTTTACGGTATGCCCATGCTTTTGCAACGCGGTCCACAGATCGGGTAAGGTAAGGAACTCACATTGTAGCTATGCAAAGTTAGCCATGACTCTAGTTACTCACGTAAACGTAGAATTATCCACACAGACGACCTCGAGTCGGGTGTCGCTCCGGTCGTACCGGAGCCTGTCAATCCGGTGGAAGGGCACGGCTAGTTGCCGGTGCGGCTGGTCATCATACATCCGGAACAGACGACAAGTAGTGAGGTGGACCGTGCCTCCGGCTACTGCCTCCGTCCGTAGACGCTCCTCACCCTGCCACAGTCGCAGACGGACCGGAGCCACGACCTCGAATGAACTGTCCTTCCCGTCACCTCCGTTCAGTACTTCCGGTGAGCTGTTCCCACCGCCGCCGTTTCCGTTAATGCCGCGGAGGTCCTCGTCGAGAACGACGGGACTGGGAGGAGCGCGGGCAGTGGCTTTCGACGAAACGTCCGGCGATGGGATGAGCTCGATGGAAGACTCGTCGGACTGTCTGTTGGAGTCGACGGCGAAATGGTCCCATTTTGGTTCTAAGTCGGTTGATTTTGGTGATGTTACGTCTGCTGTAGGGTTAACCGTGTTCGACTCTTCCAGCTCGTTCGGTGGAATGAAGGGCGGGGAAAGTGAGGGAGTGAGAGGGTCATACTTGGGGTCAGACGAAGAGTTAAGACGGTGATGCTCAGTACTGGCCACCGGCTTGGGCTGGATGGCAATAGGTGACCGGAGGCTTGGGGTTAAATTCTTGACATCCACTGGTGGACTGGAAGAGTATATTTCAGATACAAACTGATGAGGTGCACAGACAGGCAGGGGCAGAGGAGGAAAGGGAGGGACCAGGCTCCCGGGATCCGAGATGGCCATTCGGCGACACTCCTCAGAGAGCTGCAGGCTGTCAATGTCGTCATCAGTCAGCTGCAGGGGTGGAGCTCTGGCCGACCCGTTGCCGCCAGGCTGGACGGATTCGTCGGCCCCATCGGAAGCTGAAGGGCTTCTCTTGTATGGCTGCATAATAAAGTAGATAAAAGCAGCGTTAGACAGCAATCAGTAACGTAACATTAGGTATTATCATGATTATTAGTTCATACCAGTAACACTTCTAATCAAGGTTTCTTTTACATACATACTAGTTTCTCGCGTTTATCGTAACACAAGATGAACAAATTTCAATTTATCGCAACATGTTTATCGCAACATTTTTGCCTCGATTTATTGCATCATCTAGGATGTTGCAATAAACTTGTGCATCTTTTAATGAAAGGTTTTGCCTATCTAGGAAGAAAAAATTCGGATATGTTCCTTCATGGATTGAATCGCTGCGTCGCTCGCCGGTGAGGCACGGAGGTTGAGATGCTGGAGGGACGGACATGCAATAATTCTTGAGGTGTACCTATCAGGTGCACGATGGACAGATTCGGTGCTTATCTTACGTTTATTCGCATATTGTGGCATATGTTCCCATCAATTAATAGTCGAAGTCGAGCACTCGCCGGCCAAGGGGGGGGGGGGGGCGGGTGCCGCCCCCATACTTTTTTTTTGGCAATAGCTCGGAACACGCCCGCGATGGAGAGCTGAAACTTGGCATACCTGACCTTTGACTCAAGCCGGATCTTGTGAGATCAGCCGTATTTTCAGCTCAGGTCAGGTCAGTGACGTGACCTATAACATAAGTGAACCTATGCACGGTCCTCAGATGTCGCAACTTCGCAACGCCCTCAGTGCTAGAGGAACTTTCACAGGGAGATGAAACTTACGAAGATGTAAGTTTTATCTGTGAGACCTTCAGAGGTCTCACAACTTGTATATATCTCTGATCTTTTCCTAAAGGTCACACGTGGTTAGGTCGGTTACGTGACCTCACCATTATTAAGTCAATGGGTAAATATGAAAACTGCTATTTTGGCGCCGGGAATGATCTAAAACTATCCCAAGCACATGGAATCAGGCGCATACCTAGAATTTTGCCAAGGGATGGGGGCGGAGGAATCCCGGGTGGGCTCCTTTCTACAGAGGGTCTCCTCTCTAAAGGGGCCTCCTCTCTACAGGGGGCCTCCTTTCTACAGAGGGTCTCCTCTTTACAGAGGGCCTCCTACCTTCAGAGGCCTCCTCTCTACTGAGGAGTCAGAGGGGCCCTAGCGGTCAGACACAGACACTAACGGTTATTCACAGGAGGCCCCAGGAAGTAAGAAGGACCCTAGCTGTCACTTGTCAGGCTGGTCAGAGGGCCCTGATTGTCCTGACGTGTTTTTTTTTTTGGGGGGGGGGGATTCCCGTGAATTTCGTTCGCCTCCGACGTGATTTTAACCAACGTGGACCTTCGGCCCACGGGGCCCTGATTCCATCTGGGGCCTCCTAAAAAACCCAAGGGGGGGGGGGCGGACGCCCCCCGTTGGGTACGTCCCTGCATGGAATCGTGATTTCATGCACTCCTTGCAAGGTCCGATGCTTCACTATTGCATTGTTGACCTTGCGTGACGTCATTTACGACGTCACTAGGGTCATAAGAGTTTTTCGTCAATAACTCCCGATCAAATTTAAGTAGAGAGTCGGGAAAGACACCATTGGACTCGGGAAGACCTGCAGAATCGAATGCTATGCAATATGATATCCTTTGATCAACTTCGTGACTTGAGGCCTGAGGGGCTCCATGACCTGACCTTGACTCGAGGTCTACACCTTAACCCGGCCGGGCCCGGGGGGTAATCCCAACCACCGCAGCCCGGGGGGCGTTTTTCGCCCCCCCCCCCTGTCTAACTCCGTAAATAAGGGAGCTACGGTAACAGAAGCGATACCAAACGAAAGGTCCTTACGAGACGATTCTAAAGCACCTAAAATTTTGACCTCAGGTCAATTTTCAAGGTCAGAGGTCAAGGTCAAAGGCAAAAACCGGCACATGTGTAGTGATCTCAAAGTAAGCCTTCTAGAGGACGGCAGGCCGCAGGCAGCATCAAACCGGAAAAATTGGGTGTCAAACGAAAGAAGAGAACCTGAGGATTTCGAAAATGTGCTCAAAATCAAAGGTCAAGGTCAATGTCACGCTGAAAAAAAACGACGCGAGCCCATGTGTAACGAGAGAGGCGATACGCCATTCGAAGTGGAGTAAAGCGTGCTTCAATCCAAGATAAATAAAATCAATCAAATCACATAAATTAAATCCAAGCACATACAAATAAAATGTTTGTAAGGTGCCGAAGTTCAATGGACCATTTCTGCGGTCAATAATGAAGGCAATATGACGATAAAGTCCAACTGAGATAATCGTTGGCACGGATGTGGCCAAAATCGGGCACGAGCAGGACCAGAATTTGGCGCAACTGTATATCACGAACGGGATCCAATGCTGGAACGAACGGCATCAGCGTCAGGCTCAGCACCATAAGCTGGTACAAATGGTGAGGCAATTCAGGCTCGAACTACAGAACAGTCAAGCATAACTAGTAACTACCGTAATCTAACACGAACAGTTATGAGACCCGGCACCAGAACCTGGTACAAACGGCACCATTTTGGACTGGAGAGCGTACCGTCACCAGGCACGAACGGTTCCAGAATATGGCGCGATGGTATGTACATCAGGAAAGAACGTTACCATAACCTGGCACGAACGACATAGGATCAACCATGGAGACCAGAATCAGACACGAACGGTAAAACATAATGGACAATAACGGGTATGCAACGGCGCAGAGCAGTTGAGAGGCCACCAGCGGCGTCCGGCAGGAGCCGAGCCGGTCGGCCAGCGCGCCGTCGAGCCGCGGGCTGGCGCCGCCCGTCAGCGCCAGCCCCGCCTGCAGCTCGCCCACCGACGGGCTCCGTGTGGACATGTGCAGCGTCACGCCAACGGCAGCATGCCGCTACGGTGCAAAAAGGTTCATTTTCTGACGACTGACAGTGTATTTCAATAAGGACACAAAAATGCAGCTGCCGGACTGGCCACCCTTTGCCGACCACACATGGACCGACGGCATCGGGCGCTGCCACTGGACCCTAGCACAGACTCGATCGGATCAACACAATCTTACACCAGGCACACAACACACAACGGATCATGGTACTCAAGTCCGTGCCATCGGTGTCACTCAACAAAAACGGTGCTTCTGTCTCAATGTAAAACTCAATGTATGTACTTACTGACGCCGCGGGCGGCTCCGGGCCGCGAGTCCCATCCGGACCCAACCCAGCACAGCCCAGCCCCCGGCCCGATTCAGCCCTATCACCGGGCACCGCTGCCAGTGCCGAACAGGGAAGGACGGACACCAGAGAACAACTGATGACAACGGACTTACGAGAACTTACAGCATCGAAACCATTATGAGGAAACACGTTATCGAGATACACAACAACCCATACACACTTCACACGCCATCTTGACGCTCACGACTCCGACGTACGCTAGGCCGCTGGCCACCCTTTGCCGACCACACATGGACCGACGGCATCGGGCGCTGCCACTGGACCCTAGCACAGACTCGATCGGATCAACACAATCACTAGACTTACACCAGGCACACGAGACACAACCGAACATGGTACATGCGTCCGTGCCATCGGTATCACGCAGCAAAAACGGTGCCTCTGACTTCTGAGCTTGATAACCAAACTCAACAAAAACGGTGCTTCAGAGCTTGACAACCAAACACCGGACACGGCCAGCAGGACCTACTGCAGCGCCTCGAGCGATCCTGACATAGGCCATGTGGCGGCTGTTCACTGGCTGCCACAGAGAGCACTGCTGACGTCGCGGGCGGCATCGGGGCGCGGGCAGGCACATGTATTGTCGCCGCGGGCGGCATCGGGGCGCGGGCAGACACATGTATTGTCGCCGCGGGCGGCATCGGGGCGCGGGCAGACACATGTATTTGACGCCGCGGGCGGCGCCGGTCCCCAAGTCCCGTCCGGACCCAACCCAGAACAGCCCGGCCCGGCCGCTCCAGCAGCTCACTCCTGAGGGCAGGGACCACCGAACTGATGTTAGTTACGCCGTGAAATCGGACGGAGTCATGGAGCTATGTGAAGGAAATACAATATTGAGCCTATTACGGTTTTCAAAAGCGTTTTTTCAGCGACGCGCTAGCTCCACCAGGGGCGAAACGGCGAGGGGGTCGTACCCCCCTCGGCCGGCGCGTATGTAGAAAACCAATAGGTCCGGCGAGGGTTAATACCGCTGGAATTTGGCTTATTGAAGTAAAAAAATGCGGTTGGAGCTCTGCTGGCTCCAGTTCTATGAACTCAAAAATAGGTCACCTTATCCACACTTACATAGTTATGACAATGAACATTGAAGAACTAACTGACGATTGACTCAGTTAGTATCAAGGAGGAATCATCCCTTGCACGCCTAAAATAAGCAACCGAATATAGCGCATCGCAACAAACATACGCGCCAAGTACAAAGAAGTGCATCAATACATTGTCAATACTTACTGCCTTCTGTTTAAGTTTGTACATCTTGCATCTTATGTCATTCAGATTATGGCCGTTGAACGGCTCCCTCTTGTACAGGTCTCTGAGGTCATCCATACTGGGTACCCGCCCACCGCGGGCTTTCAGTATCGCCCGCAGTCTCTGCACTTCGGGCACAGACCACTTTACATATCGCTCTGAAAAAATAAAGAAATGTTAACCCTGTTATACGCCTTGACTAGCCTGAGGCAAGTTTTTTACCAGCGCCGTGACGCTCTTCCAATCACAATACATCGATGGAAGGACAAGGGTGCATTCACAACCTTTCTAGTCAGGTAATGGGCCGCCCTACAGTTATACACGTTGTCAAAGGTGAAAATTATTCTATTGTGACACCGTTGACGAACTTCCTGATAGACAAAAAGGTAAAACACAACCAATTACTGGTTGCTTTAAATGATTTTCTCACAGCACAAAATATTTAACCTCAGGCCATCACCTTTGTTTCAAAGAGTTAACTTTCTAATTACATACTTATTCGGAAACACTGACGCCCGGTGTGATACCGACTTTACATCTGTTATACCCGCATGATATACTTTCGTCTGCTCCGGGTGATTTAGTGATAAATAGCAGACATGGTTGTTTAGTTCAGCACTGCTTAGCGGGCATCAACCGGGTAAACGGGCCTACCTAGAGCG